GAGACTACCTGCAATATAATATCACGATATATTAGCTCATAACTACACAGTAATTTATGTTGTTGAGACTACCTGCAATATAATATCACGATATATTAGCTCATAACTACACAGTAATTTATGTTACTGAGACTACCTGCTGTATAATATCACGATATATTAGCTCATAACTACACAGTAATTTATGTTACTGAGACTACCTGCAATATAATATCACGATATATTAACTCATAACTACACAGTAATTTATGTTGTTGAGACTACCTGCAATATAATATCACGATATATTAGCTCATAACTACATAGTAATTTATGTTGCCGAGACTACCTACTACATAATATCACGATATATTAGCTCATAACTACACAGTAATTGATGTTGCCGAGACTACCTGCTACATAATATCACGATATATTAGCTCATAACTACACAATGTGCTATTTGTGGTGTGTACGAATTTATCACGCTGAACCACTCGGGGACTCATTATATCTGATGAAATGAATTATTTATTAAATATCAAATTATCATCTAATTGAATAATGTCATTAGATTGATTTTAGTTGTCTTCACTGTGTTAGCACACAAGAAGAACGCGCCATTTATTTTTGCCTCCAGTTTACACTCTATAGTCCAACACGCGAACTAATATTATGAGGGAAGTTATTAGCTATTTGTCAGATTATTTACAGAAATGTGTATTAACTTATCGGTTGTTTAGTCTCAACAGACTGTTTGTAATTATGCACAAAGCTACACAATTGGCTATCTGTGCTCTGCCCACCACATATATCGAAACTCGGTTTCTAGGTTGTAAGTTCGCAGACATCCACTGTGCCACTGTAATATTACACATTGAAACACTTATTCATCAATTTTGATTCACACGTTGTCGTTTTATAGACTTATTAGTTGTTTGTAACAACAGAAAAAGACCGTCACAAATTCACAGGTAGTACTAAAAACCAAATGCTACGCTAACCATAGTGTGTTCCTTTTCATCAAAGATCACCAGTTTTTTTGGTATTTTTTCCACACAGACACGTCATTGCTCGAAAGGAATACGTTACAATAACATTCATAAAGTCATAACTTAGAAAAAATAAATCTCTAAAAGCTTGTGATTCAATCAATCATTAAAAGTAAAAAAAGAAAAAAAAAACAATACAGCTCTTAAAGATTTATTTATGTTTATCGTCCTGTTTACCATAAAGGTTTCTAAACAGTTTTATGAAAACATATCTACATTAAATACGAGAAGAAAAACATACGAATATTGTGTCTTGTAAATTGAACGTACAACCGTTATTGTATGTAATTCAGAAAGGCAACATATTAATGACATCTCTAGCTCTTAATTGGGAGCAGTTTGATCCAGTGGCTAGTGCTTTGGACTTATAGGTCAACGAGTTCAAAGCCTGCTAGAGGCATGTTGGTGTGTCTTTGAACAGGACACTTTATACTGATTATATATTGGGGTTCAATCTGCAATAGACTGGCATCCCGTCCAGGCGGGTAGTGTCAAGTAATTGAAACCGGAGTTCCTATGTGCTAAGGTGGATTTCCTTCGCCCTTATATATCTGGCTACATTTTAACAGGAAACATTTAACTGCAACGATGATGACGTAAATTTGGTTTTATTAATGAACTTAGACTTACTTGCATGAAAAATAGCTTCGTCACAACATTTGTCATTAACCGACAGGCTTGTTTCTGGCTTGAAAAAGAGCGTTTACTCGAAACGTCGCCAAGTAAATAAATTACTACCATAGGTGGTTTTTCTCTAAAAGTATAATTTCTGTATTTTATCACCTTCGCATTTTTCTACTTATTTATAGTTGTATAATAGCCTACAAGTGTAAACGGCGAATGTTTATGGAAGAGCTCTAGCAGTTATCGAATAGGCCTAGTGGTTAGAGGATTGGAAGATCCAAGGTTCGAACTATAATATGCTGCTGAACACACGCCCCACTTTCAGTTGTAAGTGCCTTGTAACTTTGCCAATCAATTCCGCTTGTCACAGGTGGCGGGTCATGCTGATTGATTATCCTATCTCTAGTCAAGAATTCCAAGTCAAAGATAGGCAATGCCTTAATTTTAGGTACCTGTGATCTCGCCTTTTAGCCCATGCATCGTGTAAGGTGCTGTTCAGGTTTAAATTACCAATATTAGTGTTGACTATAACATCTAAGAATCTTTTTTTTTGTCAATGAAGACCATGAATATTAGCTTTCCATAACTGATACATCAAAAATATTTACATACTTATTTTTAACGTTGAGTGTTATATATAACACAGTTTAAGCGCAACAAATACTCAACTCAACACACACACACGCACACAATAATACCAAGAAAAGTTTTTCGAATTCTCATGAAACACGGATGTAAAACAAAAAGAGAGAGAGAAAAAAAAAAGTTGTCCTAGTACGAGTTTCATACAAAAGAGAATGGGCACATTTAAGTTGAAGTATATCTTTAAAATTATTTCACGTTAGCCCTTCTCATCTTTTTTTTTTTATTTTTACTTCAACCTATACGCTGTTTTCGTCATCCTTGTTCGTGCATGTTTTATCCTCGGGCTTCCCTATTTGAACAGACATAAGGTCAACCTGTTGGTTACGAGATGGCCACAGACTTGCTCAAGTAGCAGGGAGAGACACCAACTTTGCTTGCATTGGTTGAGTAGTGGCAGTAGTATCTAGTTTTCTCACTCTAATACGAATATTTTCAGGTACGTACTTTTTAAATAAATAGTGTGAGGGAGAAGTTTTATAGAATATACAACAACTATAGATGATTAGGTTATTATTTTTTAACGAACTGAGCGAAAGTGTTACTTACAAACTATCTTCTGGAAGGTACTGTTTAACCTTGAATTCAGCCTTAGAAAAAGTGTAAACTGTGTCCTGTGTCGCCAAGTTTTCAACGTTTACTGGTAAGGGCTTAGTCTTTGTTGTGCGTGACATCCAAGAATACTGTTTCCGTACGATGAAGTAAAGACTTAACTTTATTGGTAACTTTCATAGGGTTAAGTTTTGGTGGAATGATAGCATAAAGTACTCAAATTGTACGTTTAAAGATCAGCACGAGCTGAAAGATATGAAAGCAACTTGCAAGGTGTTATTATTAGAGATCGGCTCTGAAGCGTTTCAGCAAAATTTTGTTGGAAGTCATTGAGTTTGCAGAATAAAATCTAAACGTATTTTATTACATTTGAGAACTCTAATGTATTGCATCTGCCTGTTTTATGAAAAGGGGACGACTTCTCAGATTCTGCACTGAGGTCTAAAGAAGGCCTCAGTATAGAATCCGAAATCTCGCGCCAGGCATCTACAGTCTATTATACTTCTCAAACCAACTATGTCTACTCTCTCTCTCTCTCTGGTATATTAGATGCTATATATGTGGCAGAATCAAATACTGGAAATATAAAATATCCAGTTGTGGCATACAAGCATGAAACTTGTGAAATAGTAAGTATCTAGAACTGAGAAAAAGTTACATAAAGCATTTATTTATTTTTAATTCTTATCTAGTCTTAAGTATAACCCAGTTGTGGCATACAAGCATGAAACTTGTGAAATAGTAAGTATCTAGAACTGAGAAAAAGTTACATAAAGCATTTATTTATTTTTTATTCTTATCTAGTCTTAAGTATAACCCAGTTTTTTGTAAAGAAGAGTATAAACAGAAAGCACTGTTAAACAGATTATTAGGCAGGCCATGTTTTCTTTTCTATCATCGATTCTACGAAATATTTATTTTATAATGCGTTGATTGGGTAGAAATTTGTAATTTGCAAATCCAACTGATTTATCAATGTAAAATATTTTGCTTTGAAATTTGAGAAAAGTTTGGTAATTGTTACGTAATTTCTATTGAATTTGTTTTGTAATTTTCTGTTTAAAGGCAGGAACCCTGTAATCACTTGTAAGACTATCTTGGTTGCATTGTAAATTAGAATTTGATTGAAATAATCAGTTTCGTTCTCCCCTCCATCCCCCCCCCCCCCAGTGGCACAGCGGAATGTCTGTGGAATTACAATGCTAGAAAACAGGTTTCGATACTCATGGTAGGCAGAGCAAACATAGCCTATTGTGTTGCTTTGCGTTTAACTTTAAAAAAATCGTTCTCTTCATTTCCATCCTAAGTTGTACGTTCAATGTCTTTTATGCTGTTATCTTCCAAAACACAAACTGTCGACTATAATTTGATTCTTTTTTTTTTTCTATTGATAGTCAGTCCAGTTTCGTACTGAACTTATTAGTAGCTTCTTACATATAAACTTCAAGTATTAAAAGTACAAAGTTTATCATAATCAGAATCGAGCTTGTTGCGTCACATCGCGTTTTTTTTAACTCGGACACCTTGGCAAAAGGGGAATCCCGCAGTACCAGTTTTTGTGTTTGTGATATCAAATAGATGTCTTTATTTCATTCAGTGCTATATTTCGTTATAAACACTTGCAAATACGTAAACTGGTTCTCGCAGTAGCTTAAGATATACTCGCTTCGTAGTCCAAGGTATATTTTATTTTTTTTAACCACCAAGACCCAAAGTCAAATATATTTTTGCCATCGTATTCATCTTTACGCAAGTTAGTTTTAGTTATTATACATTATTTTGATTAGTTTCTTTATGGTAATTAACATTAAATAGGTACAGATTTTCTTTTATAGAAATGTATTCGCAGAAAGATTGTTATATGTTTTTCGTGTCACATAAGAAGCGTCTAACATAGTTGGACCTCTTGCTAGCTTAGTATATATATATATATATATATACATTAGCAGAGACCCGCAAAATATATGCGGTCAAATTAGTTCTTTATTGCAACAGCACTTCTTTAAATACAGGATTTCTAGAATAATACAAATAATCGCTGACACCGAAATCTATAAGTCCACTTGTCTTAGGCTTAACATTAGTTAAGCCTTTATCAAGTACACTGTAACTTGTGTACGTTTTTGCTTTAGTTTAGTTAGGCCTAAACCGTGCCCTACTTAATAATACCAATAAATAAACTTAATGTTATTTTACTATCTCGAACTAGACCATTTTAAAAACTTTGATAAGTTTTTAATATGTTGTTGTACAAAATTTCTACTAAAGTATATTTTCATTCGTTGAAATGAATGAAGCAGGCGTGCATGCGTATTTAGAGAGTAAGGTGCGCGCGCATTTGCAGGGCACACAAATTGGGTATTATTATAATAGATTCTAAGTCAAAATACGTAGACATCAATAACTGAAATCAATATCACTTATTGTTAAAAAGAAAGTGTTGAATATAAATTAAAACAAAACTGTAGACAAAAATAAAGCGTAAACATTTCACTATTATTATGGTACGAACTTTTCTAGCTTAATATATTAAAATAGTAGCTAATCAAAATAGAGTCAAGTTGTTTCTACTTTGTTAAAACCTGTTCTGAAGTTTCGGTCAAGGTTTCAACAGGTTCTCATCGTTCTCAAACGAGCTTTAAAATAGTTAATGACGATTAAAACCTTGGATATGAAATACAGTCCCCGCCTTATTTCTTTTAAGCAACAATTAAAAACAACAACAGAGTAATAATTATAATAAGTAGTGATTGTAATAATTAGTTAATACCTATAAAAAAAGGGGTAGGTGTATGGTAATCTGTTTCTAAGATTTCAGGGAATACCAACGTATGTAGAAGATTGTACTTTATATCAGACTGAATAAACGTCTCAGTAAACAACATTAACGTATCGTAATCGTAACTGGGACTAATAAGGTTTATTACTTTGATTCTACAGATAATTAACCTACACAGCGCCACGACTCCACCAATTACCTGTTCTAGAATATAATGTTACAGTACCAAGTGTTTATTCTACTTCTTCTGGCGTTGTCACCCCTGACCAGCAGTGATGAGGAGCTACACCGTGTGAAAAGAATGGGAAGAGGCAAGTAGGATATAGTCTTTGTGTAATGAAAATGTATTTTATTTTACAAAATATGTTCTGTTACAAACATTGCTGTCATCTGTTTTCCAGCTTTTTTTCACACACTCATTTTGTTTAGAATATAATCTAAGTCTAGTATTGTTCGAGAAGGCGAAGGTAAGTTTTAAATCTAAAAAAAAAAGATAGATAAGTTTAATATTTGTTCTTATTATTTACTCTTTTGTGGATTGTTTGTTTGTTTGGTCTTAATCCCAAAGCTGTGCCAAAAAGGGATTGAATTTTAGCGCTATAAGCCCTCAAGTTTGCTGCTGAGCAACCGGGGAGAACTTGTATTTGTCGGAGAATGTGTATATTTTTATATATATTTGCGCAAATACTTAAAGCATATCTATTTTATAGGCAAATTGTTTCATAATATTCCTTCCTTATTGTACAATTTTTCAGGACGTGGTCGAGGACGATTTACTTCGTCAGATCCCAGTGATTATTCAGAGGAAGGAGATAGTGGTTCATTTAATAATAGAAGAGGAAGACCTCCGGGCCATGGGGGTATCCCCCCAGGTCAAAAGAAAAAACAACCTGGTGGGTTTACCCCACCGGGTCATGCAGGAGGTGGACACGGAAGACCGTTCCCGCCAGGTCATTCGAAGAATCCTCAAGGTAATGATTTTGAAGACAATGGTGGTGGTAGTATCGATGAAGAAGAGGCCCTTGACTGGGTTCAACATATAATGCCACGTGATAAAAACTTACCAGTGGCTGTGACTCGTTCAACGATTTTCAATCCCTCTGCTCGTTCTACCGATAAGTTCCAGTTCTGTCGGACTCCTAAACGTCAACCAGGTCACTGTCGCTACATTCAACACTGCCTACGACGAGAAATATTCAAAAATTATAATAAATTTTATCGTCATTTATGTTTTATCAAAGGCAGCTACGTTGGAGTTTGTTGTCCTGACTCGCATTTTGGAGACACTCCAACCCAACCTCCACCCCCACCACCACCTCCTACTACACAGCCGATACCCTCACCAGTTATCGAAAGTTCATTCGATGAAGGTACGTAATATTTATATAATTAGTTTATTCCATTAGTTATATTTAAAACAAAAACTACAACCAAGAAATCCACAAAAATAATAGACCTTGTCTAGTGTACAAAAGCCTTTTCTGATATTAGTTATTGTGTTTATAAAATTAGCCAAATATCGATGTCCAGCATTGTCAACGTGAATGGCACTTTATGTGCTAATCGATCTGATCAGTGATCCCAAAGATTTGAGTATAATTATCCCTAATATTTTAACGATACATTGGTACTAAAGACAATAATTCAGAATTCATGAAATAATACCTAACGGACAAAATCGTGCAATACAAATCACAATAGAAATAGTACACAAAAAGATAAAATTGATACTTGAAACCGTCGTCACTTAACGAAACTCCGTGATTACAGAATTGAGGAAGAAACAAAGAAAAACTCTACGTTTAATAAACGTAGTACCATAGTACCTGATGATACCACGAC